TAAAGAATATTACATTTGTGTTTCATTCTCATGCTGTGTAGCCAAACCCTCAAGACATTTAATAAGCAAAAGGCTGAGGGAAACATGTGGTTTGACTCTAGCATCTCTCTGTCTTTGAGTCATGCAACTCATAGGAGCACCAGGGGGTTCCTGGACACAACCCAAGATCTCTGTCTGTTGAAATATCACTGCTGTGGCCCCGGGGACAGAGACACAGCTGAGGTCCCACAGTGAGGGGTGGCTCAGCGTTCGGGCCTCAGCACCTCCAGCCTTTTCATCACCTGACTTTGAGAAACCAGAAGGTCGAACGAGCTCATCCGGTCCTGCCAGCAAACAATAAACCACAGCAATTTACGTTGGAACAAAATAACCCAGGGCTACATTGACCCAGGGTTAAATACTCATTACTATGTCAACAATTGCCATTTAATTAATTTTTGGAGCAATGTCTGAGACAACCGTCATTTCACAGTCTGTGTTAACTATGTCTGAGACACAACACAGCAAGCAATAGCTGTCATTCAGTCTAGGTTAACTATAGACCCGATATAGTCCAGCTATGAGTAACCCACTTCTAGCCAAATGTCGTTTACATGTCGTTTTTGCCAAAATAACTTGCGAGATGTATGATCTTCCATCATGTAAGCAAAGTCAACAGTGATTACAATGAGTTTGGTTTCATTTCATTGACATGTTCATATTTAAGATGACTAGTCTATTCTTGGGCTATGGTTTAGACGTCTATAAAATTTTCACTGAAAGCCCAAATTTTGCCTTGTTTTAGCCTAGACGTCAGGGCTGTGTTTGGACGTCTATTAGACGTCTTTTAAATGCAAAATTGCTTGCTGGGAACTGATATACACTCACCGGCCACTTTATTAGGTACACCTGTCCAACTGCTCGTTAACACTTAATTTCTAAGCAGCCAATCACATGGCGGCAACTCAGTGCATTTAGGCATGTAGACATGGTCAAGACAATCTCCTGCAGTTCAAACCGAGCATCAGTATGGGGAAGAAAGTTGATTTGAGTGACTTTGAACGTGGCATGATTGTTGGTGCCAGAAGGGCTGGTCTGAGTATTTCAGAAACTGCTAATCTACTGGGATTTTCACGCACAACCATCTCTAGGGTTTACAGAGAATGGTCCGAAAAAGAAAAAACATCCAGTGAGCGGCAGTTCTGTGGGCGGAAATGCCTTGTTGATGCCAGAGGTCAGAGGAGAATGGCCAGACTGGTTCGAGCTGATAGAAGGGCAACAGTGACTGAAATAACCACTCGTTACAACCGAGGTATGCAGCAAAGCATTTGTGAAGCCACAACACGCACAACCTTGAGGCGGATGGGCTACAACAGCAGAAGACTCCACCGGGTACCACTCATCTCCACTACAAATAGGAAAAAGAGGCTACAATTTGCAAGAGCTCACCAAAATTGAACAGTTGAAGACTGGAAAAATGTTGTCTGGTCTGATGAGTCTCGATTTCTGTTGAGACATTCAGATGTTAGAGTCAGAATTTGGCGTAAACAGAATGAGAACATGGAACCATCATGCCTTGTTACCACTGTGCAGGCTGGTGGTGGTGGTGTAATGGTGTGGGGGATGTTTTCCTGGCACACTTTAGGCCCCTTAGTGCCAATTGGGCATTGTTTAAATGCCACGGCCTACCTGAGCATTGTTTCTGACCATGTCCATCCCTTTATGGCCACCATGTACCCATCCTCTGATGGCTACTTCCACCATGTCACAAAGCTCTAATCATTTCAAATTGGTTTCTTGAACATGACAATGAGTTCACTGTACTAAAATGGCCTCCACAGTCACCAGATCTCAACCCAATAGAGCATCTTTGGGATGTGGTGGAACGGGAGATTCGCATCATGGATGTGCAGCCGACAAATCTGCGGCAACTGTGTGATGCCATCATGTCAATATGGACCAAACTCCCTGAGGAATGCTTCCAGCACCTTGTTGAATCTATGCCACGAAGAATTGAGGCAGTTCTGAAGGCAAAAGGGGGTCCAACCCGTTACTAGCATGGGGTACCTAATAAAGTGGCCGGTGAGTGTAATTCCTAAGTTGATAAATGAGAAATCTTTTGATCAATGGCCACAACCTTGCAAAGAATCCACGGTTTTCCTCCTCTGAGCTCCATCAGCTTTTATTCGTCTCTTCTTTGGGCTATTGTCTGACCTTTGACCTCCTCTAAACAAGAGCAGAGTTAACTGGAGTAAATGGTTTCTGTGTTAATGCAGTGGGAAAGACCTTTAAAAGGAGTGTTTCTATTCATGAATGAAATACACTGCTGAACCTCCTACAGTGGCTTTGCTCTTTAAACACGAGAATGAGAAGCTGTTCCTTGCGGGAATTCTTTCGCTTTGCCCATAAAAGTTGTCGAAACACTAAAAAGTTATCCGTCATCCTGCAGTATTGTTTCTAAAAGAGCGAAGCATCACTCCTGCTGTTCTGAGGTTCAATTCAACACACGGAAAGCAAGGAAAACAGCCTGAACTGAGGGGTTTTAGAAAGCTATAGATCTGCTTAAGTGTCTCGTAGAGAGACAGGACGGCCAATTAATGCTCTGAAATCTCTGTCATGGCTGCAGGGATGGAAGATCTCAGCGTGGGATCACTGCACTTCCCGTGCCAGACAGTTCCTGGCAGTGACATGACTTTGAACCTGCATGCATTCAGGAGGAAGACTGAATAAAACACATCTGATCTCACCGATCTGAGCATCTCAGTGAAAACCAAAAGTTACTGTCATCAATTTCACTTTATTCACATTGACAGGGTGACTCCCTAGTTCTCTTCCTTTCTTTGATTGTGACTAAAAGCCAAAGAACAGGAAGGAAGGAATAAGAGAATGTGAGGTTTTCATTATTGCCTTCAAAATAAACTCAAGGCCTTTGACTTTGCAGCGTTTTGAACTCTCTGAAATGCATTTACGGTGTTGCAACAGAGATCTCCATTTCAAAAGAAAGAGCTGGCAGATCTTCTCGTCTCTGGTTGAAAGTTGAGAAATAGAGTGAAACTCAAGGGAAATAAATATGACCAAAAAAAATATCTTCAATGTCTCAATTGTATTGCTATCAGACTAAATGCATCCTGCTTCTCAGATGCTTCTCCTGGGAAAATGTCCCCAATCTCACGTGCATCCTGATCTCAAAACAGTTTTAAACTGCTCAGATTTGCCAGGAAACCAAAGACAAAGATCTCAATATTAACTGCTCTTCGCAATAATTTTATGCAGTATCTATCTATACTCTTTATGTTTTAGGAGGAACATCGGCAACAGCATTGATACTTATGTAACTGGGAAGAACATAGAAGGAGGCATGTTTGTGCTAAACAGAACAATTACTAATTTAAAGGGATACTCCACCAGTTTTTCTTATTAAACTATGTTATTCCCTTAACTAAGACGAGTTGATACATACCTCTCTCGTCTCCGTGCGTGCACTATATCGCTCTGTATTGCCGCAAAACTATGTTAGCACTTAGCTTAGCCCATGCATTAAATATGGGCCAAGCAGAGAAGCGACCAAACACTTCCACGTTTTCCCTATGTAAACACAGTTACTCGAGTAGTGTAACTTGACCTGGGCTGGTGACACAAAATAAACCGTTGCGCTTTTCTAAGCGTTTAAAATTGATGACTATATTGTATGGCGGAATACCATAACAAGTGCTTTTGAGCACTTCGACTTGGCGCAATAATATCTTCACTTGTGAAAAGTCCTCTTACCGGCTCCCGCTTCCTCTCCCCCTCCCTCTGACATTTCCGTCAATACAACCAACGTGACATGCGCCGGTAGTAGTTCGAGCGGAGTTGACGAAGTAACAGGTTGTTGGAAGCTAGTTTGTGTACAATAATGGTTAAAGCGTGCATCGTAAAGGGTTGTGAAAATAAGGAGAATGTAGTGCTGTCATTTTTCACCGAATTCCAACACACCATATACAGCGGAGAGCTTGGTTAGCTGCTTTGAACAAGAATCCCAAAACACCATTGATGACTCTGAAGAAGTGGCGTGTTTGCTCCGAACATTTCACAAAGGAGGACTATACCTGCACAGGAACACGCCTAAAGGATGAGGCTACACCAACAATATTCAGATCACTTACAGAAAGCCCGTGGTCTTTCGCCAGCTCCGGTCTGTTCTGGATCATATCTTTCTTGCCTCTCACGGTCCATAAGAGCTAATTCCTCCTCCGTGTACTCGGGTTCAAACAGATATGGCTCTGGCCTGGGTCTTCTACAAAGAAGTCATAATCATCTACAAAGTCCGCCATTGCAAATGATCTGCAGTTTGCTAATAGCACAGGTAGTAAAAGTCACGTTGGTTGTATTGACGGAAATGTCAGAGGGAGGGGGAGAGGAAGCGGGAGCCGGTAAGAGGACTTTTCACAAGTGAAGATATTATTGCGCCAAGTCGAAGTGCTCAAAAGCACTTGTTATGGTATTCCGCCATACAATATAGTCATCAATTTTAAACGCTTAGAAAAGCGCAACGGTTTATTTTGTGTCACCAGCCCAGGTCAAGTTACACTTCTCGAGTAACTGTGTTTACATAGGGAAAACGTGGAAGTGTTTGGTCGCTTCTCTGCTTGGCCCATATTTAATGCATGGGCTAAGCTAAGTGCTAACATAGTTTTGCGGCAATACAGAGCGATATAGTGCACGCACGGAGACGAGAGAGGTATGTATCAACTCGTCTTAGTTAAGGGAATAACATAGTTTAATAAGAAAAACTGGTGGAGTATCCCTTTAAATGACAAAAATATACCAAAGAGACAAACAATTGGCACAACTGTTCAGTGAAATTCACAATGTCATAATCCACAGTGATTTCTCAACTTTCATCAAGAACATTTTCTTTGGAAGCAAAGTTCACAAAGGAAGGTTGTTTTGCTCAAATGTTGCTCTATGTAAACTAGGCTCATTATAGATGTGTTTTGTTCATTTAAAACAAACAGCTCTATTTGCCTGGTCCAACTTACACTAGCATTCCTTTCCGTGTCCGGGCCGGGTGAGGTTTCCCATGTTGAGGCAAATTAAGCCGCATGGGTTCCACTCCTGGTGGTGCCTTTCCATCAAATCCTTAAAGATTCAGCTTTGCAACCCACTGGAACCCAAAGACATGTGGTTTCCTGCACACTGCTTGGCGGGTCATGGTAATAACAATGCGTAGCAAGCACTTTGAGAGGTGTTTTGACAGAGGCATCGAATGTTCTCAGGCGGTTGTGTGATGGACTGTACTCAGGTTTTGAACCATTTCAAACACAGACCTCCAGAGAAGCAAACCAGTGCATAGTTTGCTGCTGGCAGCCCAGAGAAGTGCACCTTAGCAGGCTTGAATGTAGGAATTGATGGCCGGCTGAAGAAAAAAGTGCAGGCTCAGGGGAGACCTCAACCCCCTCTGACCCGCTCGGGCGTCCCATAGAGGGTGCACCGTCCCGGGCACGATTCAGTGTCAGGAATTCCTTCACAAAAAATGTGTCAAACATCCAGCCACTCTGACCTACCCTGGCCAGTTGGAGCAGAGGCTGTCCGAGGGAACGGTTTGTTCCGGGTGGATGATGGAATCGATGGGTGTATTTTGTTTACTCTTTTTGTCACTTTTGATCAATTTAATGGATCCTTGCTGAATAAAAGTTTTTTTTTTTTTTTTTACTTACTGACTTACTGACTCCAAATTTCAGAACTAGTGAGCATTTAGAACAACAGTTTTCAATGTATATGTAAATCACTTCACTCAACATACCTCAAATTTCCATGTACAACACAGATTGCACACATTCATACCTCAAACATTAATTTTGTTTTGAAATGTAAGTTGCTAAACAAGAACCACAAGCATAGTCATTAGACAAATCGTACAACCACTGTAGTCTAATAGCAACTTTCAGTATTATACATTTACCTGTTCTGCATAATTCCTTTAATAAATTTAAAGGTGCAGTCTGTAAGATTGACAGCTAGTGGTTGAAATGGGTACTGCAGTCCAAATTCAAAATATCAGAGAGTTGTTTCCGCCGCCCCGTCCTGCTCAGACTCGACGCTCACGCGGGTTGCCAGTTTGAGGACACGCAACAGGAACGAGCGCAATTGACAATGAAAGCAGAGGAGACTTACACACTGTAAGTTGATGAGTTGATTTATTGATTCATGATGAGTTGATATCGCGTTTTTATTATGCTCCCATTCATAGAGATTTTAGATGGGTGTGGAGACATTTTTTTTTAGGTTGGGCAGAATCTGCAATCTTTGACCCAGTTTCTTCCCTGGTTTCTATTGCCGCAATACGCTGTGTTTTACGCGAACTGGCAACCTGTGGTCTCGAAATACTATTGGGTAAATTTGCAACGTGCGATATACCACAGACCAAAACAAAAACAGACATTCTGACGCGAAGCGCATATTTCAAAGTAAAGTAACTGGCTGTAGAAGTGTTTTTTCAGAGAAACGAGTATGTGAACTCAGCATGTTTCCTAAATATCTGCAAACTTAACATTTTATGGAATTTTTATGCTTTAGTACAGTCAAAAACTTACATACAGCACCTAAACATCACATATAAAGCATGCACAAATCATTCTTAGTCAATTTCCTTGTGCGTGTGTTTATGGAGACGGATAAGCATTATAGAGTCATTGTGTGCTGGGCTGGAAGGTGGTAAAGCTTTTATGAAACAATGGCTTTTTGTTTTTGAATGATTTCCACCAATTCTGGCTCCGCGTTGAGCAGCACTATTCAATCGGCAAAACAATCGTCTGAATGGAGCAGTGCGTGAGTGATGATAACCACAGACTGTCGTCCTCTGTGACGCAAAACTCTGGCTCGCGCTGATCGATCGGCGTGTACTCTTTTCCCCACTGTTGCTGCAATAGTCCCACCCTGCTCCTTACACACACACACACACACTTCCTAATTAAACCCAGGAGTGCCTAGCTCAGACCGGTCAGCCTTTGTTCAACTTTCCCTCATCAAGAGCTCTTGCAGATTATGCAGAGCCGAGTCCATCGGCCTCAGACAGACGTATCCCACAATGCCCCAAAGAAGGAAAGACGTCAAGCCTCCCCCACGGGAAACCGCAGAGCAACGTTTGATAGAAATCTGTATGAGAAAACATTATCCTCTGTGAGTAATTCATTCATTGTGATTGTTTGAGTGAAAGTGACCATAACAAAGCTACACTACCGTTCAAAAGCTTGAAATAAATGAATACTTTTATTCACCAAGGACGCATTACACTGATCAAAAGTGACAGTAAAGGCGTTTATAATATTAGAAAAGATTTATGTATGAAACAAATGCTTTTCTTTTACACTTTCTATACATCAAAGGATCCTGGGGGAAAAAATGCATCACAAAACGGTTGAAACTGTTATCAACATTGATAATAATTAGAAATGTTTCTGCATCAAATGCGCATATTAGAATGATTTCTGAAGGATCATGTAATTTTTAATGACTATTTACCACAGTTACTATTAAATAGTCTGTTTTTGCACTGTTTATCCTTCTCAGTGTGTAAATAAACTCTGTGATTAGTCCTCAGTATTCATTTGTAAACACTGTCTGTTTTATTTACTGTGTACTATAGCGCTGTGCACTGTGTATTTCATGCAGTAGAAGAAAGCTTTGTGAAAAGAGTTTGATGAAATCTCAAAGGAAGCGGCCCAATGTCGCTGTCAATTGGGTTGTGTCGTTTCTTGACGTGTGAGATCGGTTGACCTTTGAACAACCTCTTTAGACAATGATCTCAGAGCTGGGATTCAGGAAAACACTATGACATCAGCACTGGTATCAATGAGCCTCAGGACACACACACACACACACACACACACACACCTAATCCGCTCATATAAATTTTAATGGGAAAACAAAGAACAATCCAAGCTTGTCATAGTTACTCACGTTGCTGCAATGTGAAAGTGTGTAGTTCACATAAGCACTTTCTACAAGGGCCCATTTCTGAAGAAAAGGTGGTTTGAGGCAAGAAATATTATGGCCCTTGAGGGAAAAATCCAGTCAACACAGCAATTGTTGCAAAATGTTGATTTAAAAAACCTCTACTCATGTTTTAACTAAGAAAAATCAAAATGAAAGTATTGTGTCGGCATCCACATGGTTTAAAGTCGGCATGAAATGTGTCCAAATGCATGTTATTGATCTCATTGTGAACGATTTATTCATGAAGTGGCGGCTCGTCTGCATTTTCACCTAAATTTTGAAGGTCAACTTAGTGTTAATGAAATTACATGATGTTAGTTTGAACTGCTACCGCTGATATAAATGTACCAAATACCTTAATTATGGAGAGCAGAGATACTGGATATGTGATAGGCAACACATTTACCAAGCCACCACTCCAACAGCAGCTACGAGTTAAAAATGAAGGAAGACCTGATGTTGGATATAGAACGGATGAATGTGCTCTTTTAACACCGATATTTAAAGGGACAGAAGGATGGATTTTGGCTTCAAGTGATACAGGTTTGTGAAATTATATTGATATTGTCTTGCTGTATGCGTGTCATTTTCTTTAAATCTGTCTAAAAGTGACCAAAAAGCCATTTTAAAGCATTTTAAAGTCAAAAAATGTAGGCCAAAACACAGAAACAAGCAGCATTTCAGCATTTTAGCATTTCCGGTTCCATCGTCCTGAAATCAATGGGTTTTCTGACATAACGTCTGTGGTGAACATATTTTCAGATTTTATTCTACAACATAAAATACATCAGTAATGTGATTTTTTTTTTTAAGTTTTTACTTGTCTTGAAAAAGGCGGTTAAGTGGTTAAGTGGAACTTAAAAGGCGGTTAAGTTCCTCAGAAGTTTGTTGAGGAAATTAAACATCATCACACTGAACAGGCAAATTAATTTACTCACTATTCGCTTTCACAGCCTCGTCGTGTTTATAATCGCACTCTCGTAAACTAACATAACTCAAACTTTCTGTCTTAATTAAGACGTTTTGTTGACGTTGAAGTCAACTGTGGTGTAGTTCGTTTATAGCCTACTTTAGCTTTATACTTCTGCCGATTATTTTTAGGCTTCAAAATTCATAGAAGTTGTGTTAATTTGTGAAGATTATTATAAAGGGAACAACAAATGTAGTAATCAGAAACATTTGCTGATCTTAGGGCTTATTTTCGGCAATAATACAAAAGCCAATGGAAAAATCCTATTGGGTTTTCTGTCGAGGGAACAAGAGTGATTGCGGACTTATGGCTCGGCCTACAAAAATACATCATCACTGCAGAAGAAAAGATCTGTGGAAACTTCTGTCTCATCTGAACTTTAAAGGCTGAATTGTAAAGCTCATATTTTTGTTAATATGTGCACTTCAACTCTACTGTAAAAATGTCATTCACCTGATGGCAGCAAACGGCTTTTGTTTAGACTTTTCCTGGCTGGTTTTCGTCATCTGATATTATAAACATATACGGATGCACCGATATGAAAATGTTGGTCGATAGTGATACCGATAATAACCGATATAATTCTTAAAACCGATAAATCAAAATCCGAGTTTTCCTGTAACTCTAGAGAGCCTGATTACAAAAACAAAAGTCTCACTATTAAAAGCCACGTCCCAAGCACACATTATAATATATTCTCATTATAATGTTATGTAGCTTCTATGACAGACTTGCGCTGCACACATGTTACAACGAACTCTATTTTCCTTTTTTTGAAGTGATTCCAATCATATTTCAAGCAATTCAAAACTATCGTGGCGAACAGTGTGCATCTAAAGCGACTCAGATGAAGGAAATAATACATTATTTATCGGCTTTGATATATATTGGCCAAGTTTTCTTCTCAGGCCGATAGCGATAACATTAAAAATGATCATATATCGGCCAATACCGATATGGTGGCCGATATATCATGCACACCAAAATTTATGTTCTTCCCAATGTATGCCACACCGTAACTGCAAAATGTCCAGCAAATAACAACTTTATATTTCGCTCTACACCTCACAAAAAGCTATCACTTGGAACATAGCACACAGTAAAGCCTAGTTCACACTACATGATTTTAAAACGTCGGTCTGAACAGTCCGGTTCACACTACATGACTTGCTCTCTGTGAAATCAGGAGTGTTCAAGTTGTTGAG